GTGGGGTGAGCTAGGGGCACACACATACAGAGTGAACTGGGTACATAGAGGAGTTCCACAAATGCATACACACAGAATGGCCACACACATGCACACACATGAGTTATACTAAGCACAGAGAGGACACATAGGTTGCAGACTGAAGGTAAAGTATTTTTATAAGTATTAATAAAGAGACAGCACACCAGGAATGTAGGAGAAAAAAAGAGGTAAAGCAGGAGGCAAACAGTTCTCGAACCACTGAAGGGAACTGCCTGTCGATTCCAGCTTTCCTGCCTTTATTGAAAATTGCCAGGAAGTAAATCACAAAGAGAATCCAATACAGGCGAGAGAGGGGCAATACAAAAATCCTGTAAACGCTTAAGGATTGCCGTAATGCTTAAGGATTAATTCCAGCTGATATCAACCTCCCTCATAACCCGAAGTAGTGTCCTGTTTATTACAAATATTTAATATCAAATTTGGCTTCCCATACACACACATGAACAGGCAAGATGGGCTGGGGATACACAAGGGATACAGATATATATACACATACGCAAGACTGGGCATTCAGAGGGGACATGCATAGACAAGGTCGACTGGGTACACATATACACACTCACACACACACACATATAGACAAGGTCGACTGGGTACACATATACACACGCACACACTCACACACTCACACACATATGAAGTGGACTAGGGATGTGTGTATATACACAAGATGGTCTAGGGACACACATACAAACTCACACACCAGCTTCACTGGACACATATAGAGGGAACACACATGGACACATGAGGCAGGCTGGGCACACACACACTCTCTGTCTCTCTCTCTCTCTCAAGGTAACTGGGGATGCAGAGGGGACATCACACACACGAGGTGTTCTGGGGACACACGTTCACACTCGCTTATGTTCACGAGATGGGGACTACAGCATAGAGAGGGGCTGTGCTTGGGTGGTAGAGGGAGCTGGACCCCCCACATGAGGACAGGAAGGAGGGATTGGTGGCTTTGAAGGACAAATGGGGCTCCTACCCCCTGATGCGGAGCCTTTGGGAAAAAAAAAACCATCTGGAACCGGAGCATCTGGCAAGCTGCTCTCTAGATGCTCAAAACCAGAGCCCTAGCCTTGACTTTGCCATGTGTGTGTTCCTGTTATACCTCCCACCTCAGCTGGTTCCAGCCCTCTCTCCCCCCTGGCCACTCCCTCTCCAAGCCTCTGATCTTCCCTGCTCCTGGTCCCCTCCAGGCTCAGAATCCCTTCTGCCCTGTTGGCCCAGCCTTGCTGAGCTGCCTGGGAAGAGAGGATGGTGTGAGGCCCTTTGGGGACAGGCAACTCCCCACAGAGACCTTTAGGGGCCCCAGAGACACAGCTCTGCTGCCCCCAGTGCTTGGAGGCCTGAGCCCCTGGTGGTCCAGCTGACAGTGAAACAAACAAGCCCAGGAAGCAAAAACCCCTGGGAGGGAGGGGCCTGGAGTGCCTAGTTCTGAGGCCATTGTCCCTGCAGTGGCCTCCAGGACTGCTCCATACTGCCCACTGTCCAGGAAATTAAAAACAAAACAAAACAAAAAAAACCCAAACACCCCCACACACAAAAATCCCAAACAACAGACCCCTCTCCACTGACACCATGAAGAGCCACAGGGCGGTTGCACCTGTGGGAAGCCAGCCCTTGGGGGGCAGGGAGGGGGAATAAGGAGGTCAGGGCCTTGACAGGTGGACATGCTTATTTATATGCCTGTGTGCCTTTCTTTAGGGGACCTCTTCTCAGCTAGGGTCACCTTATGGTCTATTTGTGGCATTTGTGGTTTGCGGGGTGAACCTCGGAGCCTCAGCTGGGTCAGGGTACCTGGTCAGGTGAGTGGTACGAGGAATCCTAGGCGCCCCCTGCCTGCCGGCAGCATGGGCCGGGGGCCAGGGCTCTGAGCTGTGTCCTGAGATAAGCGCCGCGCCCGCCGGTGGCTTCCTGCGCTGCCGCCGCGCACCCCTTCCTGTTTTCTCGTGCACAGGGCCGGAGGGGCGTGGAAGAAAGGGGCGGCCAGGGTTCCTCCGGTGGGGTTGCCAGAGACCAAAAGGGCCCGGGGTCCAGGAGAGGGCAGTGAAGGGGACTGGCTGTGATGAGTGGGGCAGGAAGACAAAGACACTATGCTACTGGGGAGAAGGGGGATGGGATCACCCAATGGGACTGGGCAAGAAAGAGGAACTGTGCAGAGGGCTGGCAGGGTCTGGAAGAGGGAGAGGAGTGGACGTGGAGGAGGTAGGATGGTAGGGTGGCAGTAGCAGGAGCTGGCCTACTCTGTTTGCTCTGCCCATATCACCCCCTTCCCACATGAGCTTCCCTGGAATCTGGAGGGTTTACACAGACTTCCTGAGGTTGAGAGGAAGCTGGACTGCTCCCACCCCTCCCACCACCTTCTCTCCCTTCACATGGCCAAGCCCCTCCGTTTCTGGATGGAGGGTAAGGACAGGGTTTAGCCTGAGGGCATTAGTCCCTGCAGGCCCTGGTCATAGGACCTGTTTGGGTTTTGAGACCAGATGCTTTGGGTCTGTCTTTGGGGATGCTCTTGTGTGGACTCCAGTCTCCTAGTGCAGGCTTCTCTTCAGCTGAAACACAACTTTATGCATCATTAGTGAAAACACATCAGCAAAAAAACTTGCATGCAGTACTCACAGCAGCAGCCCCCACAAAGGTGGACACACCCATAAAGACAATGTGGTTAAAAAAAAAAGAGTAGCATGGTCCTTGCAATGGAGCAGCCCTCAACCAAAACAGAGCAAGGTCCTCGGATGAGAGGAACAAGGCACAAGAGACCACAAGTGGCCTGTGCATGTGAAATGTCCAGAGCATGCAAATCCTGGACACTGGAAATGGGAACCAGCTAGCAGCTGGCATTAAAGGTGGGGGAATTAAAGCTAATGGACAGGTGACAACATTCTCAAATTAGACCAGGTGAAGGATACACAAGTGTGAACATGCTGACAAATACACACTTGTGCCCTAGAGTCTGGTGTAGATCTGAACCAGGTCTTCCTGGTTCAGTTGCCATGGAGGTGGAACAGCCAGATGGAAAGGAAGGGAGGGGCTTCCTTCCCTGTGTGACTCACCCTCTGCACTCTCCTGCCCCATAGCTTTGTAGAGGTCAGGTGAGTGAGAGGGATGATGGTCCTCACATGTCTCATTGGTGTCCCAGAGAGTAGCCTAAGGGGTGTTAGCATGGGGGTGTCAGAATTTACTCCCAGACCCCAATTTCCTGACTGCTCCATTGGATGGGGTGTAGGGGGAGTAATGGGAGTCATGCAGGACCTCACATGGGCAGCAGGGGCATACAAACTGTTACTGAGCTACTGAAGCTCCCAGAAGGACATAGGCCTCTTGAATCTGTTCGTGGCCCAACTCAGGAGGAGCGTGGGGAAGAAGGCAATCAGGGTAGGGTAGATTAGGGTTGTTTGCAGCAGTTGGGGTTGAGGCTAGTGTCCCCACAGCGTACTTCCCGAGAAGGTACTGGGCAGAGGGTCCAGTGGTACACACATATGGTGCACACTCATATGCAAATGTGCATACTGGCTTGCGTGCTCTTGCTCGCTCTTTCTCTTTCTCATACATGCACACACACACACACACACACACACACACACACACACACACTGACCTAGATGGCCTTCACAGGACTGATGGAGCTGTGACTGCTTTCTGTCCAGGGCCACCTTAATGTACCCCCACCTTGTATTGGAGCGTTGGGGCAGGCTGGGCCAGGAGGACACTTGGAAGACTTGCCAAGGTCCGCAGAGCAAGTGGCTGTACCAGCAGTCACGTCGAATGGCCCAGGCCTCATCCCTGCCAGATCATCCTCCCTGGGGAACACCAGGATGGAGCTGGTGATGCATGCAATAGTGAGGGTGTGACCCAGAAGGGAAACCAGAAGATGGCATCCAGTTCTGGGGACCCCTGGGGATGAGGTGCAGGACTGGAGACTCAGATGTGAGGCCTGAACCCCAGTCCTGGGACGGATGGAGCACCCCAGGAGCAAGACCATAGGCCAGCACAACCTCACGGACACTTCTCTTTAGGACACTGAGCAAGAGGTACTGATCGGGCCCCAGAGGTTGAGTCTGATAGAGGTTTCAACCTACTGGTTCCTCATTCAGGAGTCCTGTCCTGGCAGTCCTAGAGTTTAAAGGGGCTTTAGAAAGAGGAAATGGGTGATTGTCCAGGTCTCAACAGTTGTCAAGTCGGGGGTGGAGCAGGAGAATCTGGGAGAGTGGCTCATGTCAAGTCCTGACCCCTCACTTTGTGTAATGGTACACACCCAATTGGACACTCATTCTGGGGATGGGCTCCATGGGGGAGGTCACAGGGAAAGGCAGGTCCAGGGCCCCTGGTGCCACACCACACCCTCAACTAGCAGACCAGTGTATAAGGGGCTGGAGGCACTTTATTGCAGCCTCAAAGGCCAAGGAGACCCCAAGGGAGGGGGCTACCAGGAGATCTCAGCTCCCTTTCCTCCTTTGGAACATACATTGTTAATTCTTGTGCTGTGTTTTAAAAGCCCTTGATACAATGATGCTTCTGGTCACAGTAAACCTTAAGGGAAAACAATTAAAAGTTTAACTAAAAATTAAATACATTGTATTATTACATGTATAAAAAAAGACAAACTAAAACCTTCAGTCTGGATCTGGGAAACGCACTGCAGGAAAATAATCAGGCACTTTAAAAACAACCTTGGCGGGGCATACCAACATGTCTCAAGGCCAGGATTCCTACAAAAAACCCTGGAGTGGTCCCAGACACACCTGAGGGTTGTGCTCGCAGAGCCCAGAAAAAGGGCCAGCGAGGGCGGCGGAAAGGGCACAAGGCCACCAGCAGGCTTGGACGACTCATGTGTTCACAGGGTCGCAATGTGTGAAGCCATCTGAGAGAGCAAAAGAGCAGAGTTGGGCAGCAATGCGGTCGTGATGGCAGCGTGGGCTAAGCGCGGCACGTAAACAAGGCCGGGCGGCCGCCTAGCCTGAGATACAGGCGCTGTAGTACACGGCGCTGCTGGCATCTGACAGCGCGGAGATCAGACTGCTCTCCTCGGGGCAGGACATGGCGCGCGGGCCCAGCTTGGCCAGCGCCATGTGGTATGGGAGCGCAGCAGCATCCGGCCGAGTCCGGTTGCAGTTGAGGTACTGGTCGAACTCGGTGAGGTCCAAGTCCGCCCACAGCTCCGGGGCTGGCCCCAGCGGCTCGGCCGCGCCCTCCAGCGGCGGGGCCTCGGGTGGCGGTGACAGAGGCCCCGGGTACGGAGCTGACCCGTGCGCGCCTAGGGTGCCGTAGTAGAGGCCAGTGGGAGGCGGCGCGGTCCGCAGTGCTTCAGCCAGGGGCGCCCCGTAGCAGCCGCCCAGATCCCGAGACCGCTCCGCGGGAGAAAAGGGAGCGCGGAAGGGCCGCAGAGCGCAGTCCTCGGTTGGCGGCGGAAAGAAGGAAGCTTCGTTGGGCTCCAGGCCATCCAGTGGCGAGCGCTCGGGGGTGGGGAGCCCCAGGCCGTCGAGCTCTGCGCCCAGCGTAGGTAGCTCGCTGAAGGCGCGGAGTGGACCGGGAGCTGGAGGGAAAGGCTCAGGCTGCCGAGTCAGGCCCGGGAGCAGGAGGCCGGGTTCCAGCCGCCGGGCCTTGCGCGCCTGCTTCTTGCGTCGCGGACGGTACTTATAGTTGGGATGGTCGTGCAGGTGCTGCACGCGCAGTCGCTCGGCCTCCTCCACGAAGGGCCGCTTGTCTGTGACACTCAGCTCCTTCCACGCTTTGCCTGTGGGCCAGGAGAGGAGCTGTTAGGGGAATGGGGGGGGGGGAGTGGTCTTGCAAGGCCCTCAGTGCGTCCTGGCTGCGCGGCCGCACAGCCCCCGCCCGCCTGGCTCCTTCATTCCTCCCGCTCTAGATTTCTCCCCCGCCCGTGTCCCCACGTCCAGCCTCCACAGCTCACCCAGCATCTTGCTGAGAACCGCATTGTGCAGGTCTGGATTCTGCTGTGCCAACCGCTTGCGCTCATCCTTTGCCCACACCATGAAGGCGTTCATGGGTCGCCGGATGCGCGATTCGTCGGCCCCGTGGCGCTCCCCACGGCCGGCCAGACTGGGGCCATAGCGCCCTGACTCGGGGCTGTGAGGCGGGCTGGACGGCGCAGCGACGGCGGCGGCGGCGGCGGCGGCGGCGGGGAGGCCACGCGGCTCAGCGGCGGCCCCGGGGCCTGGGGCCCATGCACAGTCGCGGCGGGCAGGCGGCTCGTCCTGTGCTCCGTAGCCGGGCGACAATCTCTGCATTCCAGCTGGGCGCGGCCTGGGCAGGATGAGCGCGGAGCGCGGAGCTCGGCGGGCGGCGGTGGGTGGGCGGCGAGCGGCGGTGGAGGTGGCCTGGCGCCCGGCAGGCGCCCAGATATAGCAGAGCGGGGCCAATGGGCGCCGGGCAGGCGGGGCGCGGGCTGGGCCGCCCCTTCCCCGGGGGCTCCTTTCTTCTCGGTTGGATTCCTTCTGGCCGCTCTCACGCGCCTCTACTCCCTCCCTCTCTGAGGGAGAGACCCCCGAGTCGGAAGGGGCTGCAGATGCAACAGGGCCTGGAGGGAGGCTTGTCTTAGGGATGGTGGCCTTTCAAGCAGAGCTGTCGTCGCCCCACCCACGAAGTCGCTCCGGGTGGTAGATGAGGGTGATCTTTGAGGCCAGCTGAATACCAGGCCTCCCCTCCAGGTCATTCTGGAGAAGGGCGCCTGTTTCAACACCCGGTTCTCAGGGACACCCTGGCCTGGTGGCCAGGAGGTCCTCTCTGGCATCAGCATCAAACGTCTGCCGCAGCGTGGGAAAGGCGGCACCCTGGTCCACCCCTCCCCACTCCCGCGTTCATTCATGCTAACCACATCACCTGGGTAGGCTTCAAGGAGGATGCTGTCCTGGCGCCCCTTCCCACACAGAGACCACCTGCTCTGGATTTGGGAAGGGAGAAGGACAGAGGCCCTGGACAAAGACCAAGGGGTGGGGCACACAGAGCTGAGCCATGCAGCCACCCCAGGGCCTGTTTAGAAGTAGGGCCATCAATATTGTGAAAATGAGAATACTACCAAAGGCAATTTACACATTCAATGCAATCCCAATACAAATACCAATTCCATTCTTCAACAAGATGGAAAAGGCAATTTCCAATTTCATTTGGGGTGGAAGGAAAGCACACCTTAAAAAGAGAAATAAGGTAGGAGGCATCTCACTCCCTGATTTCAAATCCTACTACACTGCCTTGGTGGTCAAGACAGCGTGGTACTGGTATAATGACAGACACATAGATCAATGGAATAGATAGAAAATCTAGAAATCAGCCCATCTACCAATGGCCAATTGATTTTTGACAAAGAGAAGAAATCAGTTAAGTGGAGTAATGACAACCTTTTTAACAAATAGTGCTGGCAAAATTGGAAAACTACCTGTAGAAAACTCAAGCAAGATCCACACCTCACTCCATACACAAAAACCAACTTAAAATGGATCATGGACCTAGGACTAAAACCAAGGACTACACATTTCATTAAAGAAAAGCTTGGCAGAACTCTAAAAGTCCTAATCCACAACATAAACAGTCTTCCAAGCATCCTGAAAAATCTACAACCAGTAGAGGATAAAATAGATGAACGGGACATTCTAAGAATCAAATCCCTATGCACATCTAAAAACTTCTCCAATAGAGTAAAAAGGAAAGCCACAGATTGGGAAAAAATATTTGGTAATGACATGTCTGATAAGGGACATATCTAGAATTTATAAAATACTCAAGCACCACAACAAGATAAAGGTAAATAACCCAATTGAAAAATGGGCACAGGATATGAACAGACACTTCAAAGACATTCAGATGGCCAACAAATACATGAAGAAATGCTAAAAATCCCTAGCTTTTAGAGAGATGCAAATCAAAGCAACTATGAGCTATCATCTCACCCCAGTAAGAATAGCAAAATTTAACAGAGCAGCAAACAACAAATGCTGGTGTGGCTGAAGAGACACTGGAATCCTTCTCTGCTGGTGAGAGTGTAAAATAGTGCAACCACTATGGAAGGCTGTATGGCGCTTTCTCAAAAAGCCCCTGAAGCCTGTGAGTCACGTTGGAATGGCTAAGGGCTGTGTAGCTGGCAGCAGCTGGCCTGAGGTGAAGGTGCCCTGGACACCAAGCCTGCGAAGGCACCTCCAGTACCCCCTCCTTGTAGCCCTCCCATGCTGGGGTGGACTTGCAATTCCTCTGGAGGCTGTGCCCAGCATTACCTCACTTCCTTCCAGACCAATTGACTGGCACCATTCAGTGACCTTCTTCTGGACCAGGCTGTGCAACTCAGGTGTCTGACTGTCATGTCCTGTAAGCTTGCCAGTGGAGGACAGGACAGGGCCTTTGGAGTGCTTTCCAAGTTTGCTGCCTAGTGGGGGATCTAGTCACTGAACAGAGGCTGCCAAAGGCATGATTCTGACCCAGATCCTGCACGATGTTGGTGGGTGTGTTGAGAGGACCACTGTGTGCGTGTGTGTGAACATACATGTCTGTGTGCATAGAGAGAGGTGGACTCCGGTGCCAAGGGAAAGTGTGTGTGTGTGTGTGTGTGTGTGTGTGTGTGTAAGGTGAGGTAGAACTTGGCACTGAGGGAACCACCAAATGTGTGTGTGTTTCTGTGTGTCTGTGCATAAAGTGAGGTAGACTCTGGTGCCAAGGGAACCACTGTGTGTGTACGTATCTGTGTGTGAGTGTGTATGTGTGCCTGTGAACATGTCTGCATGTCTGTGCACAGAGTGAGGGAGGTGGACTCTGGTGCTCTGAGAACAGCCGTGTGTGTGTGTGCTTGCACGTGCACTAGCACATGTGTGTGTGTGTGTGTGTGTGTGGTGGATTTGGTGCTGAGGGAACCTGTGTGTGTGTGTGTGTGCGCGCGCGTGCGCGCGCACGCTTGCTTATGCACATGTGGGGGGAGCATGTCTGTGTGTGTAGAGGTGGAATGTGGCATCAAGGGAACAGCTGTGAAAGGAGGTGAGGCCTGGTCTGGGGTTTCTTCTCAAGGAGGCCCTTGCTTCTGCCCACAAAGGGATGGGCTCTGGACATCTCTCCTGTCATGAGCAGTGGTCCCTGCTTATCCAGGTAACTCATGAATCTAGGATTATTCTTAGCCACTGGGTGCTCCTGCCTGAAGCTGGCCTGGCCTGGACATGCTGCCAGCTTTCCTTGGGAAGGGACCCTATCTGCAGTCCTCAGTTTCTCTATGGGGTGGCTATGAAATGAACATTATCCTCTAGCCCTTGCTCAAGCTCCTCCCTCAGCTGAGACCAGATCTCTAGCCTCTGGAAGAGCTCACAGAAGATGCTGGGCGTCCCCTTCAGTGGCTCTGGGTGGGGGCAGCGGGACCTCCCAGGCGCCGCCCGGGGCAAAGACCTCACAGGCTCATGCCAGCAAGCTCCAGCAACTACAGAACTGAGAGGCTGGGACCAATTACCATGTGCTGGGGGCCCTGGGGCCTCTGCTTTAGGAGTGGGGGACCCACTGTCAACTGAGGCTCTGGGTGACAGGGCCGTCTATCACCTAAGACACTGGCTGTGGACCCACTCAGCCTCTGAGTGGTGCTGTCTCCTGGTGATGGCAGGGCAGCCCCTGTTTGCTGGGCCACCAGAATAGCAGTGGGGGAGGGTCACTGTGGGAGCCACCTGGCCTCAGAGCACACGTGTGTCACCAGAGACTATGTCTGGACCCAGGAAGGTTTACCTGTTCCTGCTCTCCTGTGTCAGTCTTGGGGGTCTGTAGGAGTTAGAGCAGGTCAGAGGTGTTTTGTGTTTTCCCAGGGAGGCCTAATTATGCAGGAGGGAGAGGCCTGGAGGGATTAGTGTGTAAGCAGCGGGCATATGTGTATGTGTGTGCGTAGTGGGCAGATGTGTGTCAGAGTAGTGTGTGTTTGTGTGAGTAGTGGACATGTGTGTTTGTAAGTAGAGGGCATATGTGTACTGGGCATTTGTGTGTGTGAGTCGGCATGTGTGTGTAGTGGCAGGTGTGTGTGTGTGCGCGCGCAGTGGGCATGTGTGTGTGACTAGTGGATGTGTGTGCAGTGGGCGTGTGTGTGTGAGCAGTGGGGTTTGTATGTGTGGGTAGTAGGAATGTGTGTGTAGTGGGCATGTGTGTGTGTGAGAGAGAGAAAGAGTAGTGGGAATCTTGTACTTGGCTTTTATATGTGTGTGTGTAAGAAAGTAGTGTGTGTGTGTGAGAGAGAGAAAGAGTAGTGGGAATCTTGTACTTGGCTTTTATATGTGTGTGTGTAAGAAAGTAGTGTGTGTGTGTGAGAGAGAGAAAAAGAGAGGTGTGTGTGCACCATGGACTTTTGTGAATAGTGGAAGAGTGTGTTGAATGAGTAGTGGATGTACATGTGTGAGTAGTGGGGGATATGTGTGAGTAGTAGGGGGGTGTATGTGGGTAGTAGGCATGTGTGTGTAGTGGCAGATGTGTGTGTTTAGTGTGTGTGTGAGCAATGTGTGTGTGTGTAGTAGGCCTGTGTGTGTATGAGTAGTGGGAATTTGTGTACTTGGCATTTATATGTGTGTGTGTGAGTAGTGGGCATGTATGTGTGTGTGTAAGAAAGTAGTGTGTGTGTGTGTGTGTGTGTGAGTCATGGACCTTTGTGAGTAGTAGAAGTGTGTGTTGAATGAGTGGTGGGTGTACATGTAGGGGGTGTATGTGTGTGTATGAAAGAGTAGTGGACATGGGTGTATGTGTGAGTATGAATAGTAAGCATGTGTGACCTGTATGTGAGCAGTAGGGTGTGTGTGTGTGTGTGTAAGTAGTGGGCATGTGTGTATGGGTGAGTAGTGGATGCACATCCACTATTATCGATTCCCGGCAGCTCCCAGCTCTGGCATCCCCCACCCTAACCCTCAGTGCTTGCCTTCTGGCTCAGCTCCACTCACGTCCCACCCATGGTGCAGAAAGGTCTCCCCCTGCATCCCACCCTACAAACCCCGGGTAATCCAATAAATTATCCCTTTCTATGGTAGGACTCAGCCATTTCGGCTGGGCTGGGTGGGTGTGCAAATCCCTCACAGGCAGTGGGGGGCTGTGTGAGCCCTGGGAGGTGGAGGCCATGGCCAGACCCTCTGTCCTGCTGGTCAGAGATCACTGAGTACTCTTGGAGATTGTGTCCTTCAAGCTCTAAGAGAAGCCAGTCTTGTTGGGGCTCTGGGCTCAAAACTTCAGCTCCCTGACCTTGGCAGCCATCACACCTACAGGAAAAGCATTCTTGGTGCACAGCCTGCCAGCAGGGTACAACAAATGGTCAGAGCCCTAAAACCTGCAATAACTCTTAAGAGACTGCCCACCCTCAGACAGGGGCCCATGGTGTGGAAACACTGGCATATACATGTGATTGTGGAAAGTGAAGTGGAATCTTGCATCTCTGGTGACTGTAACTTTTGTCTGGGATCTGTGGCCCTCCTCCAAGAAGAAGCTACCTCATTCATTCATTCATTCAGCATCGGGCCCTGTGTTGTCTACATTCCAGGAGCCTGAGGGCCAGTTCCCCGTGAACTTTCAAAGTACCGCAGGCTGAGTAAAGGCATCTCCCAAAGATTGGGTGAATGCAGGGAAGGCACAGCAGGGATAGGAGCCACTTGTCCCCTCTGACGCCCCAGTATGTAGCCCATAGGGCAGGACCTGCTTAGTAGGATGAAGTGCGGACCTTGCTTGAAGGTGCCAGATGTGGCCCAAGCTGATGGGTGGGTTGCTCATCCCTCATGTATGGGAGACATCAGAGGTGTGATAGGATTCCTCTAAGAGGGCAGAATGATAGGAGCAGGGACCACTTGGGTATGGACATGCTTTTTGTAGAGAAGGGTCCCTGAGGAGGTGCTATGTGAGCTTTGAGGGAGGAGTGAGGTACAAAGGCTCTGGGGCTGCCAGGCATGCCTGGGGACAGTAGGGATGGGGAGGAGTTTCTGTGCCTTGGGTTTGGACATGGACAGGGTGAAGGGAGACTAGTGGGGACAGATACATGGTCCATGTGTGGAGGTACGTTAGGCTTGGCCCTGGGTTGACTCGAGAAGGTGAGAAGGGGACCTGGAACTGGGAGATATTGTCGTGGGGGGCAGCTCTACTTTTCCTGCGCTGTATGAGATGCCTCCCACCCCAGGGCATGTGGTTAGGAGGTAGAGATGGTCTGACACCTGCTCCTTGAGGTAACACTCCAGGCCTGGGTTGGTGACATGATGAAATGTGGACATGGGAGGTTAGGAAGTCCCGGGACCTGAGCTTCTGGGTGTGGGCTCTTGATATGTAAGAGAAGAGGGGGGGGGGGTCCTGCTGACCTTCCATGCAGAGTGTTGAGTTGAAGTTCCTCACCCCAGGAAGGAGTTGTGGATTTGCTGCGGCAGCTGAAGACCATGCCCATGACCCTACACCTGCTGCAAGTGAGTGCCCGGGCCTGGGATGGGCTTGGAGGGCACTGGGTCTGGGAATCACTGACCCAGGCCCTGCCCTGTGGGTTCTGGTGATGATCCCTCTCCTTCCCTAGTCCACTCATATTGGGATGTCGGTCAATGCTCTTCGAAAGCAGAGCTCGGATGAAGAGGTTATTGCCCTAGCCAAGTCGCTCATCAAGTCCTGGAAGAAACTCCTGGGTGCGGTCAGGCCCTGGGGACAATTGGGCTCTGGGGTCAGGCCATCAGGGGTTTAGGCAGGTGGAAGTTGTGGGAGAGGAGACCCTGGAGAGCTAGGGCATGTGGGGAGAGAGCAGGGCCATGTGCTGCAAGAGCCCAGTCATGTCAGGAGGCCATGAAGGCCAGCAAGGAGGAAGCCAGAGTTCCGCAGAGAGAGAGAGAGAGGGCTCCTGTGTACACTTGTGCTCTGCCCTCCTGGTCCAAGCGAGACAGTGCCTTGCTGGTCGTGCTCAGAGCCAGTGTTCTGAGCACACTGCTACCACTTTGCTGGGTCCTTAAAGCTCAGTGGCACTCTGGGCTCGTCCCAAGAGGCTGCAGGAATTAGTATGGGGAGTGATGATGGATGGCCTTTGGTGGAAGGGGCATCACTGAGTGACAGGAACATAGAGGTGAAGGGGGCTGGGAGAGGGCTGTGTTAACAAGGAGCCCCTGGGAGCTCCTGATGGCCTCCAGGCCAGATGTGACCTGGGGGATGAAGCTGCAGTGTGACTGGCTTCCTGGATGGCCCTGCTCAGCTCCTTCCCACTGTTTTTGGGGACCACAGATGTTTCAAACACTAAAGCTGGGGACCTGAGGAATAAGCCCCTGGCCTCATCGCTGGTGAAGGATGCCTCCAGGACAAAGTCCCACAGGTGCGCCTAGGGGGCAGGGGCACCTGTTCCAGCTCAACCCCCCAAGTTCCCACATTTTGGCCTCCAAAGGAGATGTTCTTGAAGGGTTTTGCCCCTCCTTTACTCAGCCCTCCTGTGACTCCTGTTCTGGCGTAGAGCTGGGTAATGGGCCAGGTGGCTGCTGTGGAGAAGGCAATCAGGGGCAGATGAGGGCATCAATTGAACTATGTAGGGGCCTGTGGGGAGGGGACAAGTGGGGAGAGGCCTGGAGCAGCTTGCCCTCCCCAAGAGTGTGTATGCTGGTGGCCCTACATGAGAGCCTGTGATCTGTACCTGGAGGAGTCACCTGGGAGCTAGCCTTGGAAGTCCCAATCCTGTTTTTGGGACAAAACAGGTGGCTAGAACCCTCTGGTGGGTTCTCCCCAAGGGAGGGTGGGTGGGGTCTTTCTCAAGGTGGGGGAATCTCCCTTAGGGTGGCTGGGGCTGTGGTCGGTACAGTCCTTGGACCACCGCTGTCTCATCCCAGCCTCCAGTTCTGGGTGCAACGTAGGGGTGCACCGGGGCCTGTGTTTGAGCACTGTGATTCCCTGGCTAGCCACAATAGGCTGGAGCTGCCCAGGACTCCCGTGACCCCTCGGATGACCACGTTTCCCCCAACACCTGTTACCTGCGATGCTGTGCGCAGCAAGTGCCGCCAAATGTTGGCCACTGCCCTGCAAACAGACCGTGAGTGTCTTTGGCCATGCCCAGGTGTCCATCTGGCTTCCTACCAGGGCTTGGACATGCTCTAGAGGGTCCTTGAGGCTGGCAGGGTCTTTGCGACACCATGTCACCTTTGCAACCTGGGTGTTGGGCGGGTGGAGGTCAGCAGATGCAGCTGATCAGGACTACCTCTTGCAGAGGACCACGTGGCCATCGGCGCAGACTGTGAGCACCTGTCCGCCCAGATAGAGGACTATATCCTTCCAAATGCACCTGGGGCCTAGTGGGTCTGGCGCCCCCTCGTGGTCATCAGCTGTCATGGTCAGCCATCTGTCTGGGCAGAGTGGCCACATCCTTCCAGGGGGGAATGGTTAGGTTGACTCTTCTCCAGGCCAGAGCAGGCAACTGCATTAAGGGGCCTGTCCTAACATGTTGGCAGAGCACGACGGTAGAGCTGGCTTCTTTATCCTAGCTCAGGTCTCCATGTCCCCATGGGGAGGGGACATCCATGGGGAACCTGTCCTAACCTGCGGGGAGGGGAAGTCCATGGGGACCCCGCTTCAGCCCTGCCCTTCGGGACAGCCAGGCTCCTTAGCGGTGCACGCATCTTCCGGAACGTGGGGTGTACAGATGTCAAGTACAAGAACCGTGTAAGAAGTCGCATCTCCAATTTGAAGGACGCCAAGAACCCAGGGCTGCGGCGGAGCGTGCTCTGTGGCTCTATTGCACCACAGCGCATCGCTGAGATGACCTCGGAGGTAAGCCGCTGGGCCTTCAGGGACCAAGGGCTGCAGGGATGCTTAACTGACTTGTGACTCCCCAGGAGATGGCCAGTGATGAGCTGAAGGAAATCCGAAAGGCCATGACCAGGGAGGCCATTCGTGAACACCAGATGGCCCGTACTGGTGGAACCCACACTGACCTCTTCACTTGCAACAGATGCAGGAGGAAGAGTTGCACCTACACCCAGGTGGGCCTCCCCTGAGTCTGCTCGAGAAAGCAGTGTCCTCAGGCTGGGGACCCTGTCTGGTACAGCAGTCACTCTAGAAGTGAGGTGTAGTGGATGGACTCGGAGGTGTTCTGGGGGCTATATGGGCTCCAGTAGTTCATGGAAAGTCACCCCCTCCCCTGGACTCTTCTCTATAGCCCACACTATGGTGCACAGCCCTCAATTAAAGGTGCCACCTGGGGGCATCAGCATTCCCTCCAAGCCTCCTGTGAGTCAGAGGCCACCCTAAGCAGCAGGTCCAGGGGCTTCTCACATACATCCCCCCCACAGATGCAGCCCCTACAAAAACCCCCCCGCACAGGTGCAGCCCCTACAGATCCCCCCAACAGGTGCAGCCCCTTCAGATACCTCCCCTCTACAGCTGCAGCCCCTAGAGACACCTCCCCCAACAGGTACAGCTCCTAGACATCCCTCCGACAGGTGCAGATCCCCACACACTCCCTTGTAAGTGCAGCTCTTCGCCCTACTCCCCTCACAGGTGCAGACTCGAAGCTCTGATGAGCCCATGACCACATTTGTTGTCTGCAATGAGTGTGGAAACCGCTGGAAGGTGGGCTAAGCCTGGGTTGGGGTGGGCAGGACCTGGGTATTTGGGTCAGGCATTGTTACTAGTGTGGTAGGGCCCAAGTCTCATGCCTGACTCCCCACAGTTCTGCTGAACCTGTGTACGTGCCTGCATCTGCCACTGTCTCCCCTAGGGCTGCCTCATTGCCCAGGGAGCCCACACTTGGTGTGTATCACTCCCCACTAGTCCAAATTATTAAATGTTTCTTTACATCTCGCTGATGTCCCTGTCCTCCACATCCAGTATGTCCCCACTGCTGTGGACAGCTCTCCCAATCTGGGAACCCTTTGGACAGTGGCTGCCAGGGAATGCTGATGAACCTCAGAGGGATTGCTGAGGGCCTGCACATGGAGGTGGACATGGCTTGTGCACCCAGGGGTGTGTGTGTGACAGGCCAAGCTGGACATGTGACTGCCAGGGCAGGGGACATGTCCACACAGAGTCCCAGACAGACAGCCATCCTACCTGCCTGCCAGCCCTGGGTTTTGGAAGCTTGGACCTGGCTCCCTTGGACGCACCCTCCTGGGTGGCTTCTCATTCTCTTGTTCCCTGCTCCTTCCCCTGGTGTTTCCTCAGAGGCAATGGGCAAGCCCCACGTGGGGAGTCTTCTCAAGGCACGGGTCAGTTCTGAACTGCTTGGCTCCTTGGAGGGATAGATGACTAAAGGTCCCAGAGTGGCCGGAGGAAGCATACCCAGTACATTGGGTCAAGGTCACACTGGGGGAGGCTGTGTGGAGAGGGTCCAGGCCAGGCTGCTGCGTCGTGGTACCTGTGCCTGGCTGACACATGGTGAGGAGACAACTGCTGCCCCACCTGGGAACAATGGAAGGAGGCACAAGTCTTTGCTTTAAAAATATGTTCAGTAATAAGACATCTTTTAGCTAGGCATGGAGATAAATATGAACACCTTTTTTCCTTTTTTTTGGTAGAACACACAGGATACTTCCAGCTTTCAGGTGTTTGAACAAAATAAAAGGGAACACTTGTTGCCTCAGCCTTCTTCTGGGGTTGTTGTCTGAACCCGGGGTGCAGGGCACCTCGAGTCTGGGGCACCACGAGTCATGACAATAGAGTATAAATTCTATTATCCAGCAAAAGTTCTCCCAGCTAGAGGTGCCCCTGGAGAGGGGTCTTCCTTCTTGGGGTAGAGAGGGATGTGTTGCCCACTAGGCTGAGGGAGATATCCCTTCTTCCCTCTGCTGGAGCTGGGATGCCTGGAGTCCCTGCCTGGCTTCAAGGACTAAGCCAGGAGACAGTAGCTGAACCTCCATGGAAGGCTATCTGTGGCCCGCATGTCCTGGTACTCAGGCCGACTCAGGCCTCGGAACAGGATGCGGTGGGCCCGTGGAGCAGCAGAGCACGGTAGGCCGGGGAGCCGAGGAAGCGCGGGTAGGAGTCTCTGTGCATGAGAGTGTAGATCTGCAGCTGGGCATCATCGAAAGTGTGTGCAGATGGCTCCTGCATCCTCTTGTTGATGCCCTCGCGAACACGAGAATCCAGGCTCACCTGTGGGTGGCGCAGGGTCAGGGCCTGGCATGCCCACCCTCCACGCCCTGCCCTGCCCTGGCATCACGCACCTCCTTGGGGGAGAGGATGGATACATAGTCCTCATAGATGAGCCGTGCCTTCTCGTCCACCACATGTTGGTTGGCCTCGGCCTTGAGCTCCTCGCAGGCAAGCCAGAATAGCATGTTCTCCTCACTGTACTCTGTACGCAGGAACTCACGGAACACGTTGCGACCAGCAGGGCTGTGCATCAGCTTGTCAAAGGACTGTGCCCAGCTGCGCACCTCCTCAGGGCTCGGTGCAGTGCTACGAGCAGCAGCTATTAGGCCAGGTGCTGCTCCCAGCCCTCCGTCCCTGACTTGAGGATGCACACACATGCTCACATGTCCACACCCACTCACGCCCACCTCATGTGCACACAAGGGCTGGCGCTCACCATGCTTCACAGCTGGGGAGGGGCTGCAGCTTGGTCTCCCGAGAGGCCCGCCAAGCTCTCCGCCTCTCCTCGTTCCTAACACCAGAAAAGAGGTGACTGCTTGGGCTCAGGACACATGCACACACAGGGGCATGTGGACCTTTGGCACAAACACATGAGCTCTCAGCACACAGCCAGACACAGACAAACCTCAGGACAGACAAGTATATGGACCCAGTAAAGCCTATGCTCATAGACACGTGAGCAGACACCAGGTGTAAGGCAGTAGGACCAGGTGCACATTGACACAGGTATTGAGGCAGGGCTAAGTGCACATGCAGACACAGGTGAGAGGGGACAGGATGAGGTGCATAGGTAGACATGGGTTGAGGGAACAGGGCTGGCTGAGGGAACAAGACATTGGTATCTTGTTTCCTTTACCTCCTGCCTGGGAAGAGGGTCCAGTTACTGTTAATTGCTCTCTTCTTCCCTCCATCAAGTGTCTTGTCCAGTTGCTAATCTACCTAAAACCACCATCTTGTCCCAGGACCTCTGCCCCTGAAGAAGCTCCTTCTCATCTTCCCAGGCTCAGTTCACCTGAACCCCAGCACCATGCCCACTCCACGGCCCAGGGTCTGAGTTTCAGACCTGTACTCTTCTGTGCCCCTGCCTCATGACCCCCGCTTGGCCTGACTCCCAGTGATGTTGATAAATGTCTGCTGAGCACATGGTCACAGGTGTGGGCCTGGTCCCTGTCCATAGGCATGTTCTCAGCGCCCTGAGTCTCTTGGAGGGATTTGGGCAAGATAGGGCTGTTCTGCCCACAGCCTGCACCTCTGGATGGGCCAAGGGGGCTGGGGTAGCCCTGTTCAGGCCTCCATGCACCTCTGACCCTGGTCATCACCACTGCACACCCTTAAGCTCATTCTCAGTCCTTCTTCCAACCTCAGGGTCCCCTGAGACCCACCCCTCATCTTCTCTGGGTCCTCCCAGGACCTTGCATTCACCCCTGTGCAGTCTCTGTGAACCTCACCCCATGCACTCACCTGTGTATGCCCCGCTCTGCACACACCCTCATGCATCCCAGGCTCCTGCTCCACCCTGTGTAACTCCAGGTCCCTGCACCTCCCCTTCTCATTGTATCCTGGGCTCCTGCTTTTCACTGCGTGCACCCCAGCCCCTGCACCCTGCCCTCCACATACCAGGAGCAGCTGCAGCAGCAGCACCAACACAAACAGCAGGGGTTGCGGCTGGGGGCAGCAAGGGTGGCTGCAGGAGTGGCAGCTGTGGGCGCAGCACCATGACTGGACATGGAAGGCGGCTGGTCCGCCTCCTCGGGCCCGGCGTGCTGTGGGAGATGATGGCTCAGCCGAGGACACACACACCAGCGTGGTCCCTCCCTTGGGGGTTGTGGCCCCTGGGATGTGACCCTGCCCCAACTTGGGCCCTCCCACTGCAACCAGGGAGTGATGTCCCACCTGTGTCTCAGCCTCATGCGGGGTGGGCATGGGTGGGACAGGAAGGTCCCCTGGGCTCTGTGTTGCCTGCTCCAGGGCCTTCACCACTGTTGGGCCTCTAGGGAGAGAGGCTGAGGTTGAGAACCCGGACCTTGGTCCCTGCCAGCCCCTGTGGGCCCTGAGAGCTCTCTGCCTCTCACCTCCAGCCCTGGCTCTCCCTAATTTCAGATACGCCAGGACTGGGGGCTCAGGCCAGTGGGGAAGAGGGCTGTAGCAGCTGGTTTCATCCTTGCCCTGAGCCCCAGAGGAGGCCTCTCTCGGCCTGGGTTACAGGATACTCCTTTAAGCATAGTCCCTGGAAGCCGGAAGCCTGGGTTCCTCTTTCTTGGTTTCCAGTTTTCTGCCCCTCCCCATGGCGGCTGGGGCCCCGAGAGTTGTGAGGTGGCAGCCTGTAGAGCCCTCCAGCTCCCTCCATCCAGAGTTTTCTGCCCAGACTGTGGAGGCTGGTTGGGTTGCTCCCCATGAAGAGTCCCAAACCTGCCTCAGGTCTAGAAGTTCCTGTGGATGGGGATGGTGTTGGGTGCATCTGGGCCTGTGTGTGGAGGGACTAAGTGAGGCTGGATTTCCTGGGGGGTGTTGGAAGTAGGGCAGGGTGAGCATTCGGAAGAACTGGTCCTGGCCCCCACTTTCTCACTCTAGGCTCTGAGTATCACTTTCCCAGGATTCCCTGCCCCATGGTACTGCCTTCTTAGCCTGTGCCCAGTATCTCTGCATCACCCCCGCCCACCTGCCTCTTACAGGCAGCGGAAACCACTATGGCAAGGGCTCTACCACAGGGTGTGCCAGGCTGGGGTGCCAGGCCCAGGGAGGGGACGCCTGCTGTCAGTCGAGTCCTGATCTGGTATAGGGTGGACCAGCTCAGATGGGTTCTGGGGAACACAGGGTCCCAAGCCAGCTCTTCTGGCCTGTGTGGTCTGTACTTTGGACAGTGGTACATGGCTGGATGGTGGCATCACTGCAGGGGTGGATGGTGGTGGCAGGAGTGGGAGGCTATCACAGGGGAGGCTATCACACCCATGTCTCATGCAAAGAGCCCAAACTCTCTGCACAGGATGGGTTTTAAATAACCCCTGCCCACACCACCATGACTGCATTCGCCTGCTTCACTGTTTTCTCACTGGATGTCCCATTCCCACACTGGTCTCTTGGACCTCCAAGACTACCTCTGGGGCCTCTGCTTGGCCTCATGTGGCAACACTTAGGTACAATGCTCCTCTTCAGCCTGGTATGTGGTAAGCCCAGAAAGAATGGGTTCTGAGGGCACAGGGTCTTCTAGGGCCTTGATTTTCACTGTATGCCTGACTTTAATAATTTTGGAGAGGGAGGCCCTCCAGTCCTGGTGGGTAAAGAGTCTGCTCTCTCTGGGGTCAAGATTCTAGGGGGAAGGAGTGTGGCAATGTCTGAGGTCTGCAGCTGTACCCCAGCCAGCACTGACTTCCTCCTCCACCCCACCCCCACTTTAAGAGGGAGCCCAGTCCTGTCCCCCTTCCCTTCCCTCCAACCTGCATGGACTTGGGAAGGGGGGGGGTCTATCTGGAGCGCAGGGCTAGATGATGGGATCCAAGTTCCTGCCTCCCACGGCCTTGGTCTGGCCCTAAACGTGGCTCTGTGGCCTCCCAGGTCACTGAGGTTCCCCACTTCCTAGGGCATCCATGATGCCCTGAGATATCTCCTGTCTGTGAAGACATGGAGTCTGAGTTAGGGTGCTCCTGTCTCCTCTGGTGTTAGGAGGACTCCCCTTTTCCCCAGTCTACACGCCCCTAGTCTGAGATGGAGAGCGTGGATAGGCAGCCAGTCCCAACCCTGGGGACCAGTGTCCCCTGGGAGTGTCTCTGCTCCAAGCCACAGAAGGAAAAGGAACGCTTTGAGCTGCTCAGTCCAAAAAAAAAAAAAAAAAAAAGAGTAAGAAAATGTGACAATCCCAGAAACAAATGCTATAGTCTTTGGGGGGAACCACTCCTTCGGATCCCACCCAGGCCTCTCCTACCTGCTACCCATTCCAGCTAGTCTGGCTGGGGGAGCCCCGGCCTGGCCTTCTCCAAGTCTAGGAGACCTTCTTGTTCTCTGCTTGCCCCAACAATTGTGGGTCAAACCCCCTCGAGATCTCAGAAGCTGCTTTTGACGCCCCCACCCATCTTAAGGAACTCGCTTTGCCTCAGCGCCTCACTCACCAGCGACCCTAGGGTGGGGTGGGGGCAGGAGGGGCAGGTTCTCGGTGGCCCCACCCTGGCCTCCGAAGGGGCGTGCACAGCAGCCTGGACTCGGTCAGACGGCAGGAGTCACTCCTGCGGCGTCTGGGGGCCGGTATGGGAGACCCAATAGGCTGGATAGGCTGGATCGGCTGGGCCGGGGGAGGGGGGGGGCGCAGCACCTCCCCGCCAGAATGCAGGGCTGAGCAGCGTCCAGGTCCAGCTGGGACGGGGACGGAGGGCGTCCCGCTGCGGCCCCTCCCCACTGGGGCAGGGCAGGCGGGAGACGCGGAAACCTGGGCCCTTCCGGCCCCCACCTTTGAGCAATCGCTGAGTGAGCTTAGAGCTGCAGAAAAAGGGGAACCGGTGCCGCGTCCTTCCCCCTCGCGAGGAGGGGTCCAGGCCCGCCGCAGCCCAGGTCCACGTGGGCCTGGGGTGGAAAGTCCGGGTGCGGCCGCAGGACGCGGGGTCCCGGTGTTCCCCCGACAGCCCCGGGCCAGGAGCGGAGCCGCGCCCCGGGGCCGCGCACGCGCGCACTCACC